TTGGATATATATTTAGACATTCTCAAAGACAACTTTTTGTAAAGGTTTAGATTTTTTTTCTTTTTTTTTTTTAAATGTTGATTTGAAGCGTCAGTTTTTGAATTATTATTGGTCAAACCTAAACACAAAGAAAACATTTTGTTACACAAAACATAAAAATTCTATAAAAATGTAACAAAAATGAACAGAAATGTTTTATCAGAGCTTAATCCTCCTGGGTTTGATCTGATTTCAACCTCTTATTTCAGTTTTCTGACTCGTTTTGGCTATATGTTAATAGCCATACCGATTCATTTGAGTGTGTATAATTATGTATGTTTGTGTGTGTGTCTGTGAGTGTGTGTTTGAGAGAGTGTGTCTGTTTTGCACTCTTGATGTTTTAGAGTGTAACCCCTTCCTTGCTGTCCACTTTTTTACTGCATTGTTGAATTATTGCATGTGTTTTACATATTTGCTGTTACAGTCACACCAGTTCATAGTGTGTGTGTACGCGTGTGTGTGTGTGTGTGTGTGTGTGTGGATGTGTTGGTTTTGCACTCTTGACATTTCAGAGTTTCACCCTGTCATTGCCGTGTGCTTTTTTTCTGCATTGTGTCAGATTTGTAGATTGTACACACAAAAATTCTCAGAATACGACCACTAAGTCTGCTCGAATCATGCCCTCAATTTTTATTTGTGTGCTCACATTTCCAAATGCCATAAAAGTCACTAAGTTTCGCACCATTCCGATGAAGCTGTGATTTAAAAAAATTCAAAACAGAAACTTTTTCAGTCAAAAGTGACCGAAGAGCACCAGAGGGTTAAAAAAAAAAAAACACCTGACGGAAAAAAAAAACTTGACATATTTCTGGACATTTATAAGGAAACAGCCAAGTGAACAAAACTACGTAAATGTTATAATAGATCAATGAAATGTGCATTAAGTAAAGTTTCTTAAGGGTCAAGATCAAGTTATCTGCGTCTCCTGCGCTCCATCAAGCCACTCCCAGAATATCTGTCAGCACTCAAATTAATGCACGACTCTACATTAACTGTACAGCATGTGTGTACTCCAATACAATTATAAAGTTATTATTTTACCACAAAAAAATATTTCAGTGAGTAAAACTGGCTGTGTCTATAGTATTTTAGATTACACAACATTATAATATTATTTTCAATTACATTTTTTAATTTTAATTTATAATGATTATCCCCGGATTAGTAGGGTACTCTTGTAATAGAGTAGCAGTGGCTAGGACAGATTTTAAATAAAATGTCCACTTAAAAGATGCAATCGAATTCTGTTTACATGAAATAAGCCGCTCCCGAGCAGGTTTAAGTTTATGGACCTGTTGCCATGACAGCAAGTCCAGGATGAGCTTCGAAGATACTCAGACACTTGAGAAGGTTTGAACGCTATTGTTTTTGATTAAAAAGTATAAAATATGTATTTATTTAAAGAAAATTGGCACCATCTCACAAGTGTTCAGTGTTTAAAAACTCTAGCATCGTTTTTCTTTATTTGAGGATGCCACATGCAACATCACAACGGTTTGTTTGGGTTAATAAACGTGTAAGCTGTGTGGAAATCAGTTCCTTTACCTTTCAGACCACGTGCTGAGATCGTAACAAGCCCTCTTTATCTTACACGTGTTGTTTTTGACTCAGGAGGCACTCCAGTCTTCTTTCTTGAGGAGTCTGCCATCATCCGTTCATCTACTGACATTACCGCAGGTGCTTATGGGTAAGAAGACCATTACAATCTTACTAAGACACCGCAGTTATCTTCTGGTTGTCATGTTTCATCTTATTACTCAGAGCAACAAAATAAAAAAAATAAATAAACTAAAGAAAAGTGCTAGCATAATGCTGATATCCTTCCGTGCTTCGATCAACAGAAGCATTAGCGCCATCTGTCAGGATGTATACAGTATAGTGAGTACACCCCTCACTTTTCAGCAACCATTTTAGTATATCTTCTCAAGAGACAATACTATAGAAATGAAACGCGGATATACTTTAGAGTAGTCAATGTGCGGCTTGTATAGCAGTACAGGTTTACTGTCTTCTAAAAATAACTCAACATACAGCCATTGTTGTCTAAATAACTGGCAACAAAAGTAAGTACACCCCTAAGTGATAACTATGTCGTTTAACCATGCAAAGCCACGTCCTATTCATCATGTTCATGTTTTTGTCTGCTTGACAGGACCATACAAATTTGTGTATCTTGTAATAGAGCAGTTAAAATTTGGTACCTCGTGGCTAAGAACTCTGAGGATTTGATCTCCACAAACCCTGTTGAAAAAAACAGCATTTGCTGGTTAGGTATGGTTTGACGCTGGGATGCTGGTTTAACATCCTGCAGCTCCGTGATGACATTATGGCGGAGTGGAAGAGGATCCCAGCAACAACCTGTGCAGCTCTGGTCAACTCCATGTCCAGGAGGATTAATGCAGTGCTAGATAACAATGGTGCACACAAAATATTGACACTTCGGACACAGTTTCGACATTCACTTAGGGGTGTACTCACTTTTGTTGCCAGTTTAGACAATAATGGTTGTATGTGGAGTTATTTTTAGATGACCGAAAATCTGTACTGCTATACAAGCTGCACAGACTACTCTAAAGTATATCCAATTTTCATTTCTATAGTATCGTCTCTTGACAACATAAAACAATTGCTGAAATGTGAGGGGCGTACTCACGTTTGTGAGATACTGTATATATATATAATTTAGCTAAATAAAAATGTAATTCTGAAGCTCGCTTTTGTCATTCACAGTCGACACTGAATATCCTATAGCCATAAATTAGCCTACAATTTAATCAGCTACTTTAAACCCACATTAACTAGCAAACATTAACTTATTTAAGCTTTATCTAGGTGACGCCATCGGTCAATGATATCAGGGTCCACGATGAAGAAATGGGAAAATCATTTTAACAAGTCACACAATAATAAAAAAAAAAAATTAATTGCATTGCTCTTACAAATTGTACTGTATGGTTTCATTACATTTTTAGCCAAAGTTTGAATTCATTGACTTAATTTGATGAATACATTTCATGTGGTGTAAACAAGTAAAAAGTTATTTCCTGGTTTAATAAAGTTTGTACTTTTTTTTTCTTAGACTTGGTTTTAGTTTAGCCTTTAGGCGAAGTCACAATCTTAATTTAAAATGAGAAATCCGTACGACTGGGAATTAAACCAAAACAGCTGAAAGAAAACGACCACAAATGGCGATATAATTTTTAATTTCCCCCACAATATCTATTTCATCTTCTACATCACGTGTGGAGCTCCACCAAACAACTTTAGACACCACACTGCTCTGGCTACTGCGGTGATAGAGGAGTTGACCGTTACTTTAACTGGAATGAATCCATGAATTAGTAAAAGATTCTACTCAATTTAGGAAAAGCGATTAAACGTCTAAGGAGTTTAACGAAAAAAAGATTTAAAATGTTGCACTTGAATAAAATTAGATTCAAGCCATTTAAGTAATACTACAGGTATATCAAATAGATTTAGACTATATAGACTTCGATAAATGTTAATAAACCGATAAAAAAATAATTTAGATGGCAAAATAAGCGTTACTTTTATAGAAAACAAAAGTTCAAGTAGCCATACAGTAATAATAAATTACATAGTTAAAATATTAGATATTATAGAAATAGAATTGTATTTTTTGTATGTCTATTTGAATCTTATTTAGATTTACTTAGGACTTCTCAAATTCCTACATAGATTTAGTTGTCAATAAAATTAGGTGACAAATCTGAATAGACAATACAATACCAAAATATTTAGATTCAAGTAGATGTACAATAAATACATTTCTACCATTACTATTAATACTACTAAAAATTACAGTACAGTATTGTGCGCTAGTATTCGATCATGTACTTGGTCTACAAATGCATCACTAGATTGATTGACACCCACCGCCTCTTCCTCCTCTGAAGCCGCCGCCGCCTCTTCCTCCTCGTCCTCCCCTGAAGCCACCGCCCCTGCCGCCCCCTCGGCCGCCGAAACCACCTCGTCCACCACCGCGTCCTCCGAAACCTCCTCCGAAACCTCCCCCGAAGCCACCTCTGCCGCCCCCTCGGCCACCCTCGCCTTTGGGCTTCGCGTGAACTAAAGTTCGGTTTTGTTTTTTTACAATAAACATTTTAAATCTTGATTCAACAACAGGCATTTAGGACAAATGTTACAAAATGTATTTTATTAGCAACAGTAATGTGTAGAATCTAATTTTTATGTAGAAAAGAGGTGCATGTGTGTGTGTGTGTATATATATATATATATATACACACACACACACACACACACACACACACACACACGTACTCTTAATAAATGTGCCATTATTCTTCTCTAGTCTTGTATGAAATTGACCAACAACTTAAGCAATTGTGTGATTTAGTCGCAAATTCAAAGCACTGACTTTACACACCCACAAAAAAATATATATAATTTAGCCATTTTATTATTTCAAAAAATAAAAGCATAAATGACTAAGCCTACAAGTGCTCCTCTGCTGCCATCTACAGGTTATGGTGATTTGATGTATTTATTATTTTTTTACATTTTACACAAGCGTTTGTTCACCAGTCTATTTTGGTCATCCCATTAAAAACAACAACTCAAATTGGATCATTTGAGCTTTAAAGTGCTGGAAACAGTTGTGTCAAATGCTTGCAAGTAATTGAAAATTGCTTGAATTCCTCTCAAAATGCTGTACAAACCCGGAAACGAATAATGTAATAACATTCGACTTTCTGCCACAACAACATGGTTACAGTTGGCGTTAACACAACTGGTTTTCTGCGTCAGCGCTGTTTGATCCGTTTATAACAGAATTCTGTGCAGAATTTGAAAGCTTCTCAGATCTCACAGCAACCTTTATTCATTCTGCGGCGAATTAAAACCCTTCTCACTGGATCACGCGGCTCAAACGAGTAGCGGAATTTTATGCTTTCGTTTGATGTTTTTTAAAAATTCCCACACCAGCAGAAAAAAAAAAAAAAGCTTGCAGGCTGGAGCCCTGTATTAAATTATCAAATTAATAAAAACCTAATAAACAATTCATGTCTACACATCTTTAAATGCACTGAATCAACTGCTGTACCCCTTTGGTCTGCCGTTGTTCTGTGGTACTCTGATGGACACGGCCTTCTCAAACACACTCTGGAGGGAGTCTTCATTTGCAGTGAACGCTAGGTTGTTTACAACCAGTACTTTGCTTGCAACAGCTAAAAGGAGTAGAAAACAAGAGCGCGGTTAACATTCATCTACACCAGATCTAATCCAGAGCCAAACCGGACCTAGACAGCACTGTTTACACACCTCTGCCACCCTTCTGACTCTTTTCTCCTGTGAAGTCTATGATGATAGACCGGCCCTGAACATCTGACCCTTGCGCCTCCTCCATTGCCTTCTCGGCGATTGCCTCCGACTTGAACTCGAGGTAGGCGATTCTGTACCCCAAGAGGAGGATGTCAGTCAAGGATTCGCTTAAAAGATGCATTTTTAATAACGTGAACAGCCGTGGCTTAGTCTTACCCTCTGCTAGAACCGCTGTCGCCCATCGGTATCCTGATATCAACAGCCTGGTCAAAGATTTCCCTCAGTTCCTCCTGCGTTACGGAGTACGGCAGGTTCTTTACGAACAAAGTGCGTGAATCTCTCTCTGAGGAAAAGAAAAGTGCTAAAACGTTAGCGTCTGCGAGCAATGTTTGATGTACCACATTAGCAATGGTTCGAGATCAGCACTTGACTATCTTAAGCCCACACGAGAGTTCAGGAAAGTGAAAAAGTGTCATCATTTCTGGTTGGATTTACACTCAAAGCGGCAGCTGCGGGAATTTTACCTTTTTTGTTTTCCTGGGAGTTTTCTTTGCTTCTGGCTTTGTCGAGTTTCACCGGTTGGCCCATCAGCTTCTTGCCATTGAGCCCCAAAGCCTTCTGCTGCTCTTCCTCTGACGCGAAGTCAACGTAGCCAAATTTCCTTCAAAGCAAATTATGACGCCCGATTTAGAAGCTAACTCCTTTGCAAAGACAATTTACTTGAATAGGATATCCAACAACAACTTTCTCCTTACTTGGTCCCGCCAATTCGGACGTCCTGAATTTCAAGGCCTTCCTTTGAGAAGAACTTCGCGATAGCGGACTTGATTTCATCAAAGTCTTTATTGTGGTTTAAGTTGCCCAAGTAGAGACTAAAACCTGAGAATTCAAAGCAAATTTAGTCCACCATACCAAAACAAAGAAACGGACTTCTCCCCCTTACACCAGCATCAGAATTAATATAAAAGGTGACATCACATTTCAGTATTAAGTCCCTTTTAATCATCATATGTAGTTTAATGCACACAAACTGAAGTGTATTGAATTTAAGTCTCACCTTCACCATCAGTTTTAGCTTTCTTAGCCGGCGGCGTTCCCTTCTCTTTTTTGGTCTCAGCTTTCCTTTTTGCTTGAGTGACCGGGGTTTCTTAAGAGCAAATCCAAGACAAAGTGAATAAGAGAAACTATTTGGAAGTGACCAATGCGGTCAAGCGTTAATACATAAATAAAAAAGTAACGATCATAAATCGGGAAAACACCACATTGTGCTGAGAACAGTATAATGCTATATCTCGTAAATGTATTAAATGTAGCATGAAACGTGGGCACTGATAGCCCTGTAAGCAGTGCACCGACATGTAGCACCATTGCGCTGCGGGCGTCCCGAGTTCGAATCCCAGCTGGACTTTTCCCGATCCCGCCCCCCTCTCTCTCCCACTACACTATCTAAATAGAAGATGAAAATGCCAAGGAAAAGAAAAAACCTGTAGCATGAAAGAAAAGCATTACTTTACATTAGTATTGGCTTACTTGGAGCATGGAAGATGTGGGTGGGTGGGTATGTGTATGTATGCATGCATGTATACACACACATACATACACACACACACTAAAGAACTGACATTTTGGGACTTAAATATTAATTTCTAACAAATTCAGAGTGTATTTTATCAGTACCTGTATATCTAAACTACAATTGCCTTCACATCAAATGTACAGCTATCATTATATTGCAATTTTTTCTCTCTATTTCTCACTTTATAAAACATTTTCTTATCTCTGATAAAGCGTTTCTAAATCTGAACGCTTTTCACATTCTGGGTCTGTTTGGAGCTGAAGAATCAGTCACCAACTTAATATTTTTAACAAACCAAATGCATCCGATCAGCAGAACATCAAAACAATCTAAAAAGAACTTCACTATCACACCTTCATCATCATCATCATCATCATCCTCTTCGTCGTCATCCTCATCCTCTTCAGATTCCTCCTTTGCCTTCACCATTCCTGCCTTTTTGGGCACTGGAGTCGTGTCCATTTCCTCTTCTTCTGAATCAGGACAAAATATTTAAAAAAGCAAACACTTTCAGTATTAAATCCCTTATGCATCACATGTGCAGCTCTTAGAGCGCAATAAAATGTGAAAAATGCAACTTTTCTAAATGACAGTGCGACTTTTTCAGAAAATATGATAAGTTAATGTCATGGAATTGTTTTAATTTCAATATTTTACACAAATTTTTTTTTTTAAACACTATTGCAGTCATTCCATTAAAAAGCAAACAGAATTAAACCTCTAAGCGCCAAAGTCTCAATTGCGACAAGACGTCATACTTAATCAAATAGACTGTAGTTCCTAATATGGTGTAATATCTCATTTGTATTCCCTAACACTAGATGGCAGACATGTAGTACTTCGATTCTAGACCAAAATTCGAATGGGTTGTTCAGTTTATTATATCATTACGGAGCGCAATAAAATGTGAAAAATGCAACTTTTCTAAATGACAGTGCGACTTTTTCAGAAAATATGATAAGTTAGTGTCATGGAATTGTTTTAATTTCAATATTTTACACATACATTTTTTTTTTTTAAACACTATTGCAGTCATTCCATTAAAAAGCAAACAGAATTAACCCTCTAAGCGCCAAAGTCTCAATTGCGACAAGACGTCATATTTAATCAAATAGACTGTAGTTCCTAATATGGTGTAATATCTCATTTGTATTCCCTAACACTAGATGGCAGACATGTAGTACTTCGATTCTAGACCAAAATTACGTCACGTTCCTATTCAAAGTGTTCGAGCTAATAGCAGAGCAATTGAGCTATCGTGTCATTGATGCAGAAGCAGTTCGGTTCATAGCGTGCGAGCAAGCTGAGAGAGAAATTGCCAAATGGCTAATAAAAAAAAAAAAGTTGTACCGTACGGATGTTGCAAATGTTATTTGCCGATTCTGACTCTGAAGGGGAATATTTGCCTTTAGGAAATGACGGTCAGTTGTGTAATAATCGTGCTTCTCCCGGTACATCTTTGAAGCACAATGGTGCCGCCATGCAAGGCGCGAGTGTTCACGAAGCACAAACAAGTGATAATTTCGACCCTTTGCCCAACGGGGATCGGGGTGGCAGGGCAATATCTATTATTATTTTCATCATTTCTGATAAACTGATCAAAAAGTACTGTTCACATGCGTTTTACTGCTATATAGTATAGCAATAATTTAGTACTTTTTCCTGTTTTATTGTCGTTTCCTCTTTTCTGATCATTTGGAATGAGGATAAAAAGACAAAACATGCAAATAAGTTCAAACGTCAATTCAATATCTATTATTTCCTGAATATTATGACATTCAGGAGGGCCGCCCCCGATGACGACATACTATGCAAATTAGATGAGAATATTTACACCCACTGGCGATGGTGGATGGCAAATAAATACAAAGTGTGACATGTCTCGTTTTAAAGTAGCCTACAAGTAAATCTCTGAAACAATAACTCTAAAAGTTACTGATGTCGTGAAAATAGTATCAAATATGACCCATTATCTTATCTAGATTGAGAATAGGACATGTAGCATTAAAGGGGTCATATGATGTGATTTCAAGTTTTCCTTTCTCTTTGGAGTGTTACAAGCTTATGTATAGTGTATGAAAGGGAAAGACATCAGATGTTCCAAGAACTGGAACTGATAGGAATTACCGTAATAGTATATCTCTAAAGACACTATTAGGTTATGGGCTAATGCAATCAAGAATATATGGAGAATTGTTTAAGTGTTTAAAAAAGACAAGATTAATGGAAAGAGTTTCAAGTTTTGAGTTTTGTATTTATGTAAAAAATTTTGGTTTATTTTATTATTATTATTATTATTTATTTTTTAAAAATCTATAACAGTTGAATAATTCATAGCTGAACCGTGTACGTTTCACACTCCAGACCAGTAGGTGGCGGACATGCACCTTTAATGTTGGTTTGCCAATCCGCCAAAAAACTCGAGAGAAGAAGAAGAAATATGACCCATCCCATGATATATTTTTCTTTTCTTTTTAAAATGTTCTGTCCTCCTGCTGAGCCGGTTCAATTGAGTGAATAATAAAAAAATAAACAAAAACATACAGTACAACCAGGGGTGCAACAGCACATTTGCCGAGGGGTATGCAAGATCAGTGTCGGTGCCCCCTGTATTCTAGTAGCCTCTAACACTAACTTGCGCAGAAGTTGACTCTGCAAGTCAATGGCCAAAAGCCCATTACTAGCTTGTGCATGGAAGGATACAAACTCATCAGGAGTGAAGGAGTGACAAAGGTTCGAACCCCCTTCCTCCTTTTTTTAATACCATAGGGAAAAAAAATGAAAAGTAAAAACAAGAAAAGAAAAAAAAAAGAAAAGTGTGTCACGTAACATCCCCTTTAACTCCTGATGGCAGACCCCAGACAGTAGAACACATTTTTTTATTCATTTTTATTTTCGAACACATGTACTATTGCACACTTTTTAGTTACGTAATTTGAATATATTTATAATTTGCCTCAAAATATATATTTATATAATATATATAAATATTTGTGCACATTTTTATATAGTAAAATATATTTTAATGAACATGTGAATTTTTTTTTTCTTTTTCCATTTTTACTTATAGAGATAATTCATGGAAAATGTGCCATGCTAAGTGAAAGATTTCTGCCAAGATTTCACCTGGTAGAAAAACTAATACTATTAAAATGAATGTCATGATTCCCACTATGGCCACTAATGGCAGCAGAGGATCATTTATTGTCTCCTTTACCATTTCCACTCTGTAATATAGTTCTTTTCACATGTTTTGCTAATGGATTTATATTTAGACATTATAAAATCACTATTATAACATTTAAAAATCTCTTTTTTTGTCAAAGTTCAGCATTGTTTTGTATTGAAGTATGAAGTAGCAAGAGTTTCCAACTCATTGAATCTACTTGAATTACACAGACGGCCTATTTTTAATTTACAACGACAATTAGCAGTGAAAAGTGGCTAGTTTATATCCTTGTTTACAATCTTAGTTTGTCTCAAATGTAAATCAAATGCCCATTCACAAACATATGTTTCCACCATTGCACCATTGCTTGTTCTCCATCATTTCATAGGCCCACTCATGATTGAGACATGCAGATAAGTATAGTCAACCTTCACTGAATTTTATAGTCAATGAACTCTGAAAAAGTTATCAGTCAGTGTTTAACATTGTATTAGTTGTCAAAATGAATTCATTGCAGCACTTTTGTCATAGCTAAATCGAGCTCTGAACAAAGGAAAATAATGTAAGGATGTAAAATAAGTTTTTTTTCATGCATTTAAATATGGTTTCATTTTTTTTTCATTTTCGTACTTTACAAATTAATTAAAAATTAGCGCATATTTTCTAGTACATTTAACTGCACTGTGCTCACATTTGGTCTACGTGTGCATTAAATTATAAATAAAATTAAAAAAATACATAGCCTATCATCTTGCGCACTATTGTGATCTCGAATTGCAGAATATTTCAGTAGGCTGTATGCATCTGAGAGACATTCTTAAATTTAATGCACATACATGCATGCACAGTTTTGCCGTTTTAATCACCATTTTGGTAATTTCGTGACTTAACTGACGATGTATGCTCGCAGTTTCTAGTGCGGTTTATTTATTACTGTAATCATAAATACCGTACATACCGTAACCGTGAGGTAATATTTATAAGTGCTCCTCATTTTCACCTACAGTTGAAGAGAGTAAAACGGCTGACAGGACAGGAAAGTTTTTTTACTGTCATATAACAATATCTCATCAGACTGCAGTTCCCTGTTGTTCTACTGAAGCTCATTTGGCACATGTACCTTTTCCGAACTCGTTTGACTCGCTCGCTGAGGGCAAGCTAGCTGGAAGTTTCCCGTTTGTTGTGGTCGCAAAGAGATACGGCGGTTCCGCATCTTAAAGGGGTCATATGATGTTGCTAAAAATAACATTATTTTGTGTATTTGGTGTAATGAAATGTACATATGCGTTTTAAGGTTCAAAAAACACATTATTTTCCCCATACTGTACATTATTGTTTCTTCTGTATGCCGCACCTTTCTGAAATGCGTCAATTTTTACAAAGCTCATCGGTCTGTAAAAGCGAGGTGTGCTCTGATTGGCCAGCTATCCAGTGCGTTGTGATTGGCTGAATACCTCAAGCGTGTGACGGAAATGTTACGCCCCTCACATACTGTGATGATGCCCTGTCCGGCCGGAGCGACGACACAAACATTAATACCCATTACAAATGAGGCATTTGTTGCATCCAGTGGGGACATAATTACTGATTATAATGACTTACACTGTCTTTTTACGCATTGCGTTGCATCGCGCCGCGTAAACATAAAACCCTGTCTGCGTTTGTGATCGGAGAAATGACAAACAACAAGTGCTACTCTACACTGCCCAAAACTCAAGTTTGAATCATCAGTTGCAAATCTATTAAATGAAAATGTACTTACAGTCTGTGAGTCAGAACTGCCAGCATTGTAGTCTACTCTCCCAGGATCAGGAAACAGTTCTCCATAAAATGTGCTGCACACATCTGAATTTTTGGGTTGAACAGTGTTGTCAATACAACTTAACCACTGATTTGTATTCGTGTCCTCTTTTGGAAGGCCAAACAAAGTAGTTTCGCTTTCACAACGAAAAGCGGCCTAGCGTGAGCAGAGGCAGCGGGGTCGAGAACGGCGCGGCCGGCGGATCCGACGAAGGAGCGGCAACCACAACGCCTTCTTTCTTTGCGTGAACATTTGGACAGCGTTATGCAAATCTTCCCACATAGTGAGGTAGATATGTGGGGTCGTGTTAGAACGAGCCGTTTTAGGTAGGCGTGGCTGACTCTTAACTTTTATAAAGAATATCTCTTTGGTTTTGAGACTTTAGTCTTTGCAACTTTACAGATCTTCTTTATGCACCAAGAGCTTGTAACACTCCAAAGAGAAAGGAAAAATTGAAATCGCATCAAATGACCCCTTTTAATAAGTTTTTAATAAATACGTTTTTAAACTCATTAAAACGCTA